TGAGGATAGGAGAACTCTAAAGGAAAGCAAATTATACTCATGGCAAAAAAATTATATATATATATTTTTATGTTTAGTATTTTTTAATGTAGAGATATTCACAGTATCTCTTCCATAAAATTCTCACTAAAAGATACTGAAAATCTTGTTATTGAACAAACTTAAAAGTTTAAGGATGATGGATGTCTCTGCTAGGTTTCTAAGTCATGAAAGTGATCTAACTTTCAGGAACATGAAAAATATTTCTGTGTTGTGTCCAATGAGTATTGTTTATTATGGCTACAATTCTACATCATTGCTTTTAAAAATGCTTTTCATGTGGTGTGGAAGTTTTAATTGGGAAATATGTGTACATATATATTTTTTAAAGTTTAGCAGGCAATTATCTTAAGCTCACTTGAAGCCAATTGGGAGTTAGCTGATTTGAAGCTCGACTTCAGTGTCTGCGATGACTGGTTTCTTTCCAGTTTTCCTCTTGTTAGGGTGTACATCTTCAGGTATTCCAACCAAATTCCTGGGTGTTTTACAAAACCTTGTTTTCCATTGTGGGTTTTGAACTACAGTTTTCCTATCACGAGAGATTATGATGACGAGAATGTGTGAGCTCCTCACTCATGGAGTTTTTGTTCAGTTTCTTAGCTTTCCAACTATAGTTTGGCCATTGGCAAATGTCCCAAGAGAACAAAGCAGGATGTCAATGTCAGGCTTACTTCTCTAGGCATTTTTCTCACTGGGGTCTTAGGCCTCAAGTACTCGTGGCTCTCTCAGTTCTCTGATGCCTTTGCAAGGTGTTTCCATTTCTGCATTTTTGTCCAGCTTGTCTGGTTGTACTTGAGAGGCTGTTGGACAAAATGCTAGTCGGCCATTAACCGGAGGTCCAATACACGTGTAATATTGACACGAGTGTCTTTACATTTTAAAAGTGAATCCTAATGGGTAGTAAATAGAAGAAAATAGAGTGAAGGGAAGCTGGAGATAACCAAAGAATATCGATGGCAAAGAATAAAGACGGCCTGTCCCATGAACAAGAAGCTAATGAGGCATCACTGATATAATCTATTTTTATTTAACATCTGTTGGCACAAGTGAAGGGCAATTTTTGCTTCTTTGGGAGTTTATGAAACTTAAAAGAATATATTCATTTTAGTTTCCTTCACCCTTAACTTTATTACCAGAAAGTTAATCATCAGATTTGTCTTTAGCTTTGTATTCATTTCTAGGAGGAGAACTGTTTTGAAATAAATTCAATTTGACAATGTTACCAATTTTATGCTTCCCTTTTGCTTAATTTTAAGCTTTGTTCGAGTCTTCACTTGTGCCCAAATTTTATAAAATTGGGAGAAAGGACATTGGGCTCATGCCCATTCATTTCTCTCCTCTCTTATTTTTTGTACGTGGCATATTATTATCGCTTTGTTTATGTTTTCGATTTGAAATCAAAGTCACCATCCCTAAAAGCACAGTTGATGAAGGCTTATTTGATATTCAAATTTTAATCTCAGATTGTAAATTTATACGTTTGATGACTTAAATTTTATCTCTAATTGCAAATACGTATATAATTTGTCAAAAAAAATTGATCTCTCACTCTTATTAATCCTCCTTCTTGCTCTCCTATTCTTACCTTTTATCTCCCTTCCTTGTTTTCAAAGATTTAAACAAAGCCCCGACAGCTCTGCGTACTACCAGAGGGTACTCAGCAGAAGGTATTCAGTGATTTCTTAACAAATACTGGTCATAGTAACAGACTCTTCCTATCTGGAATTTGAAATGAGGCTTCTGGGTCTTTACCAAGACATTTTACCTTTGGTATTTATTGGGTTAAAGAATGGCTCCTCGATAATTCTGAGTAAGAGATTGGGACCTATGTCACCAGGCAGCTACACAAACATATTTGAAATTATATTATACTATTACCTGAAATCCTATAAATATGCCTAATTATTAAACCAAACAACCTTATATTTGGCAAAGTTGTTTTGTTGATAGTTTACTTACAGAAATATTAAATAATGGATTGTCTTAGCTGTGTTTAATTGCACTTGCCCACCTAGAGATATGGCATGCATGGGGATACAAATCTGAAGAAATTATTATTGGCATAATGGTTTTGAGGAGGAATTGAGTGTATACTATTAAATCTAAAAGTTTATGAGACCAGTATTACTATCCAATTGCTCCTTTGCAAAGTCATGACCTCCGTCTGCATTGTCCTGTATGGTAGCCACTAACCACATGTGGCTGCTGAGCTCTTGAAATGTGCTAAGTCTAAATGTAGAGTTAATATTTTAAAAAGGCTATGGTGTAGATCACTTGTAGCTTTGCATTTATTACACAGTGAAATAACTATTGGATATATGTGATTTAATAAAATATGTTATTAAAACCAACTTGACCTCATTCTTCGTACATCTCTGAATATGGCTGCTAGAAAAACTTGAACTACATGTATTTTTGCATCTGTGGCTTACCCTGTATTTCAACTGGACTGCACTGATCTAGGTAATCCTCATGGCTCCAACTACATCATTCCAAAAAATAAGATATTATGATATGATAATTTTAGTACCTTAAAATCTTTGTATAAGTAAATGGTGAGTCTTGATTTACAGAAAACATGGAACAGTAACTGCACATTGAATGTTTTACACAATGTAACTAAAACCTCTTTTTATTCACTTATGTAGAGATAGTCTCATCTATAGATGAAAATTACCATCAGTTATTTCAAATGGTTGTACTTCAGAAATAGACACCATTTATCAGAGATTCCTTTATACCTACAAATCAATTCACATGTGTTTTCAATAGCTTATTTGTAAACTGGATTTTCTCTAAAAGAATCAAACTCTCACTTTTCCCCCCGCTATGGAGGCCATGTGCCCATTTGGGACCAAGATTATGTATGAAGGTTAAGGAAGGTGCTGCAGTGAGGTTGTAACTTTAGGGTACCATGAGGACTTGAACACTGTGGACACCTCAGAGGCCAGCTTCTACTGAGTGCATGCTGTCTCCCTGCCTGGACTTTCTCTTTACTCTCCACTGCTGTGGTCTTTGAATTATTTTCTGATACTATCTTGATGATAATCCTGCTATTCACACACTCCTCTTTCCCCCAATGTCTTTCAACGCTGGGTTCTCTCAGCTATCATAAACGCTGTCGTCCCTCAGAATGGTCATATGTGCAAAGATCCCTAAGCGGGGAACTGTCCTTTCTGAAGCTGCACCCCATTTTACTGACAGCAGAAACTGTCCTCTCATGCTGCACCCCGTTTTACTGACTGGAAACTGTCCTCTCACGCTGCACCCTGTTTTACTGACTGGAAACTGTCCTCTCACGCTGTACCCCATTTACTGGCTGTGGAAACTGTCCTGTCTTAACACTGCACCCCATTTACTGACTGCGGAAACTGTCCTGTCTTAACACTGTACCCCGTTTTACTCACTGCCTTCATTTTTCACCATTTTAAAAATTTCTTCTGTGACTTCTAGTTTCTTAGCTCCTATTTGTCTTCTGTTCTTATTTTTCCTGTGTCACCTCCCAATCCTCTTGCCTCCTCTGGAGTCCCCAGGCAGCCTTGGTAGCAGATTTGACATCTTTGTTTTTCCATATCACACCCCAACCTGTGCAATCCCTGCTGACCCTGCCCGGCTGCTGATGGAATCCGCCAAAGGCCACTGGCTGCTCTTGGGTCCTTTCACGTTTATGTTGTATACTTAAACATCCAAAAATTGCCATTCCAGAACGTTTCTCTCCTCCAGTGGCTGTTCCTCCATCCGTTTCCACACTCTTAGAAACCAACCTGTCTCCTCTTTCACTTCGAAGAATGAGTCCGACGGCCAAAAATTGTTCGAAATCCCCCCCTACGTACTTCATCATTCTGAGCATCTAGAAACTTTTAAATACCTAAAATCTCCATGTGTGTTTACCGGTGTTAGGGTCATAACGATGAATGCTACCTGGGAGCTCCTAGTAGGAAATGGACAAGGAATAAAACAATTATAGAATGAGATAGAAACATGTTTATAGCAGAGACAGGAACTCAATGTTGCTGGAACATAGAAGTAGAAATACTCGGATCTCCATGAATCTTTACGGAATCAGAAGATAAAGAACAGGAAACGTGATATACATTCCATTGCCCACGATGAGTAGGCAAGTTTTTGTTTGTTGACTTGACTTTGGTGGTAATGAATTAATGCTTCATCCACTACCCATTTTTTTTTGCAGACATTCCATAAGAGCATTGAAAATGGAAGAGGAATAACCATGTTCTCAATGAGCCACTAATAGGGTCAACCTAAATTTATTCTTCCCTGTTTCATTTTTTTCATTTGTGCCATGACGTTTCTGCCAAAGATGCTAACTCTCTCTCACCTCTTAGTAACCCTGGATTCATTCCTTTTGATGAGAACCATTTTGACGTAGAAGGTCACATTTGCATTTTCTTTTTCTTCAGCTATCTTCTCTATGTATGTCCTTGGACTGGGGAAAAGTCTTGAAATCAAAGTCATTTTTTATCAAAAGAACCTCCCAGAAGGAACAAATAGTTCATGTAAAAGCCCGTTCGCTGCCTCAGCTGATACTTTTGAGTGTATTTTTGTGTATATCCTAAGAGAGAACACAGCACTCAAACTTGAAGCTAAAATTAGCAGGGATAATATCAAGGAGCAAAAGACTTTTTAATCTTTGATTATTAGACACATGTGACAAGTATAGTGCAAAGATCATGTAATTGTACTTTTCAAAACTGAAAAGCAGTAGCTTGTGCATTCAACTATTGAAGTGACTAACTCACATGCTGTGATATGTATTTGGCTACATTTGGGTCAGACGGGTGATGCTTCATTGTTCCACAGTGTGAGATCCTGGTAACACAGCTGTTTTTCTTTCACACGATCAATAGGGTTAGAGTCGACAAGGTTTAAAAAATGAAGATGAAATTATTTAGATTTACTTTCAAGCAATAATTGGAATTCACTGTGTCTCTTGTATTCAGATTCAAAACATTATTTGTGGCTGGAGAACGCTGTGATGTGGAGACCCTGGAATGGTCCAAAAAGGTCTTCCGAGTACCTGTCCTTGACCACTGGTGGCAAACGGGTGAGCATTTTCTAAGCACGTCCATAACTAATTCAGGAGTGCTGAAAAGCACTGCAGAGATTGGAAGTAATCCTGAGCCAGGACCATCAGACACAAACTCAAGATTCAGGGGGCTCAGGTTTTTGTAAAAATAAGCAATGCTTTGACTGTTGTCTTATGAACAATGTCTTCTTAAGTGACATTGACGCTACCATTCTCTTGGTCCCTAGGTATAAAACACTAAAGACCTCTTTATCTTCTCCTCTCTGTTTCCTATATCCGGTAAGTTACCAAAGCTCAGACTTTTCCTTAGAAGTGTCTGTCGGATTCATCCCGCCTTCAGCACCCACATTGCCTCTGAGCTGTGGCAGCAGCATCATCTATCATCCGACCTAATTCAAAGTGCCCTCATCACTCATCTCTGCTCTCTCGGCTTTTTTATTCACACGGCACACTGGCCTCTCCACAGTCCTTTTTTTAAAGCATGTCTCGCCTCAATGGATTCTCTGACAATCTTCTTGTGTTTATGAAATCTAATATCTTCTGCCTAGTATTTGAATCAAACTTACTTTTTCTCCAAAACAATTATCATATCTATGTAAGTGATTTATTTACTTATTTTATTTTTTTATTTTCCTCCCACTAAGTGACCCTTAGAAAACAAATTTTTGTATTATGTTTGGATCAAACAGATAGAAAAAAATAAAAACCCTTTCTGCCCCTTCTTTTGAGGGGATGTCTGTGTACATGTGTGAGAGTGGGTAGTTTATCCTCACCAAATGCAGGGATTATATTTTTCTTTGACCAACTGAAAGTCGCTGTGAGCTTTGGGAGCCTTATAGCCTTTCTATGTATATATTTCAGTTCACTCTTTCCTAGTTCAATGAATTTTATCAACCCTTTTATATATTAGAGTTGTCAGTAGTTCCACCTTCTAAGCATCAAGGGAAGAGTATCAAATTTGGATTAAAAATTAACACAGTTACTTTGAAAAAGTAAGGTCTGATTTTCTGAAAATGATTTTTATCTAGAAGATCAAGTGAATGATGGAAGCTGAAGTTCAGTGTTGGATATTTTAGAGCTTTTTTATATTTTAGAACTCCTTGAGAAATTAAATTTTATATTATCTTCTTGGATAGTATTCTTTAAAAATGGTTTCAGTACCCTTTGTAATATGACATACAAAATGAATGATCAGAGCAAAAGACATGTTCCTTACTGGATGATAATCAGAGATGGGGGTTTTATTCTCTAGTTTTATTTACTAAGGGAAAAATTACTTAATATATGAATTTAGATTTGTGACTATTTAGAAAATATAAAATATAAGACTGCATTTAGAGAAAGATCCATGTTATGTGTATAAATACATAAAAAAACATGTGAAGAATTATTACTTCTGCTACGAGAGTGTTTATAGTATTGATGTAACCTCTGTTAGCCAAGAAAGTTTTAGCAGTTATTTTTCTGGGCATGATCGGGAAAATACCTTGCAACCTTTAGATGATTTTCCTTACCTGGTCAAAATAGAGAAGTTGCGTCCCCTACACACGTGACCTTACACAAATGCTTGCAGAAGAGTTTGGTCTTCCTCCATAAAGGTGATACTGCCAAGGTTTCTTAAAGAAAACTAACACATTCATAAACAAAATTATAATTCCTTTACATCTTCTTATAGATACCTTCCCACATGTTAGCCTATGAGAACATCTGCAGTTAGTGCATTCAAGTTTACAAACAAGCCCATTGAAGTCTATGAAACAAATTTATAAGGTCCCTGGTTGGTATTGGGTTTCAGATGAATTGAAAATCTTTCTGTGATGTAATGTTTAGAGGGAATTAATAGCCACATTCTGTCAATGTGCTGTCACTATAGTCAGGTAGGAATGGCTACTCGTTACAAAGACAGTGGAGTTTTACTAATAAAATGACTAATTCTTTCCTCTCCTTCCAACCATTCAATTTTACAGTATTTAATGTTCTGTCCTATTAAACTACACAGTTACAAACATTTATATGGCTAGGTAGGTAAATATATGATAGACAGAGAGCTAATTTCATGCTTTATAAAAGAATTTCATCCTAGGTGATGCATATGTCAACTTCTAACAGGAAACCTAGTTAGAATTTTTATTCATTTTCATACAAGAGATCACTTTATCATTTTCCAAGTTGCATGTTATGGGAAGTATAAAGTGACACTGAAGTTTAGCATTTACTACCTTTTTCCTTTCTTAAAGTGCTGTCAAGTTAACATTAAATCACCAAGGAAGAAGAGCAAGTACTTTATGAGTTATTATTAACTCTTAGAAAAAAAAAAATCTGATATTTTTAGTGCATTCATGAATTCCCTAATGGTCTATCTGTCAAATAGATGGCGGCACCCTTCCCTGAGAGGTGTGCTAGTCAATACATGTTGATATTTAAGCGAGGATTATCTTTGATCAAAGAATAATTTTCTTTATTTCAAATTTCAAGTTTTCTACAGATTCCCTTGTCATTGACTTAGAAATTAGTATTTTTTATACACTTGTGCCCTTTTATGAGCTTTGCTCATATAAATGAATAATTCATGAATTGGCCCTCTGTGTGTAAAAGAACTGCTTAAAAATGGTTTAGAAACTGTGATATATAGTTTGAAATTAATAAGGGCGATGTTAATACCTTAAAAGTATGAATAGAAATTAGTTTGTGTGACTTGGATTTTAACAAGGTACTCTCCCATCCATTTATATCACCACTTTTTTGTAAAGGTTCTCCCAAGAGATAGAATTAATAGAATGTATATACAGACAGATATATGAGGGAGGATTTATTTTATTTTTTTAAATTTCAGATTAATACATGGGTACAAACAATTAGATTACATTGTTTGCATTTGTTAGGTAAAGTCCAAGTTGTAGTTGAGCCCCTTACCCAGGCGGTGTGCCATATACCCCTACATTGAGGCGGTTAGGTGAAAACTTAGCAATCTCCCTCCCCTTCCCCTCAACCCTTTCTCTCCATCCCCTGCCTTTGAATATGATTTTTTTTTTTATCTTATTTGGGTGTGTACTAGTTTGTATTTATCCAGATAAATTTGGAGAACATCATCTCAAGCAAAGTATCCCACGAACGGAAAAGCTCAACGTAACGTGCTCAATAGTAATACAGAAGAGGGTTTATGGGGGGATTGGCTCACATGATTATGGAGACTCAGAAGTGCTGCCACAGGCCATTTGCAAGCTGGGGGCGCTGAAATGCTGGTAGAGTGGCTCAGTCCAAGTCCAAAGGGCTTAGAAGCAAGGACTGCAGTGGTGGAACTCTCAGGCTAAAGCCAAAGTCTTGAGAACCCCAGGGACCCCAGCTAAAAGCCTTGGTGTCCAAAGTCCAGGGAGCCTGGAGTTGTCATCCATGGCGAGGAGAGGAAGAGTGTGTAGCAGACAGAGTCACACATTAGCATTCCTCTGCTGTTCTCTGGGGCCTGGCTGATTTCCCTACCTAGTCCACTGAAACACACATGCTAATCTTCTCTGGAAACACCCTCACAGACACATTGCAAAGTAATGCTTTCACAGCTTTCTTAATCCTGTCAAGCTGAGCACCTAAAATGAACTATCACAGACCATTTTTGTTATCAAAGAAGAGGGTGTCCTAAAAGACACCATACATACAGAAATTTGGAAATTGTAGCTCAGTGTATCTTTTTTAACAAACTATTTTTACGGAATTTTACAAAGAGGTGGCCAACACAGAGAGAATATTTTGTTAGTATTTTGTAAAATTTCGTAAAGTATAATTTGCATCAGCAACATCCTCTTTAGTGTCATTAGACATTTAGTGTCTTTAGTGTCATCCTCTTTAGTGTCAAGCTTCTGATAACCCATTTAAATAATATCTAATATTCTAAAGTAAAAACTAGTCAGTAGAAAATTCAAGAACATACCAGCACCCTCCACCCCTCTAGGGAGCATTTTAATAAAGAATTGTTGGTGTTCAGCACCACTGAAGCATTAAGCTCTTGCTTTAGATTGTAATAACGTAAACATTTAATGCCCTCATAAAGGAAATTGGTCTTGCTAAGTTTAGTGAGGTGGGCTGTATCTATCTGATTTATAAATCTGTATACCAGCTGGATTGTTATTCACCCAGATGTTTTATCTTCACAGTAACTCATCCGTAAGAAGATTGAAAACATCTGGAGCACTGACTGAACCTTATATATTTATTTTTAACATGTGGAAACATAGGTGCTATCATCCTATTTTTAAAAATGAAAATTAAGAGGATAGAAATTGTTCCATTCAAATATAGTCACTCGGGCTCGGCGCCTGTGGCTCAAGTGGCTAAGGTGCCAGCCACATACACCTTCGAATCCAGCCCGAGCCCACCAAGAACAATAATGGCTGCAACCAAAAAAAAAAAGAAAGAATAGCTGGGTGTTGTGGCGGGCACCTGTAGTCCCAGCTACTTGGGAGGCTGAGGCAGGAGACTTGCTTAAGCCCAGGAGTTGGAGGTTGCTGTGAGCTGTGATGCCATAGCACTCTACCCAGGGGGATAGCTTGAGGCTCTGTCTCAAACAAACAAACAAACAAACAAATATAGTCACTCATGTGCAAGAAAATGAAGAGCGAGAACTTCATTATCCTTAGCAGTACAATCCCCAGATAAAATACTGTATTGTTATAGAGGAGATTTCCCAGAAACCAGACGGAAGGCACAGTCTTACAAGGGAAGAACCACCAGGGCAGTGTGTGGTGGCCTTTGAAGAATTTTATTTTTTCTGACTTAAGATGGCTATAAGAGAATTCTTTCCCTTGTGAGTAAGAGTACCAAAAAGAGGATTCCTTACATTTGAGAGATTATTGAAACCCATAGACAATGGACCTTTTCCTTGTTGAGCCATTCTTCTTTCCTTCCTTCCTTGCTTTTTGCTTTAAGATATGGTATTGATTGAGAAGTTATTGCAACAACTCATCTTGGAATCCTAGTTTTAATGTTATTTGAGCCTAGATAGAAATACTTTATCCTTTCACTTGTTA